TTCAAGTTCATACTTATCTGCTCAGTGTTTCTACCAACATATAATAAGCACCCAATAAGGGTGTTGATCTGTGACTTTCTTTTTTAAATAACACATTCTACAGACAATCTAATGTCTAATTCAGGAAGGTAGAAGCACAAGAATAAGGCTAAACAAATTAATGTATGGGGCCCTACCTACAGATCATTCAGTGATTTCCCATGTGTAACGTTCTAGAAGCACCGGAATCAGTCTGTCTGCACTGACTTTAGGGTAGGAGCTCTGGAGTTCAGCTGCAAACCCTACCTGTAATCACAGCACTTCTCAATGCTCATCATGCACTCATTACTTGTACCAAAAAAACTGTGCTTGACAAGGTCCATCGGCTGGTCCTGTTAAGCCAAGATCCCTGCAGACAACCTGTTCAGAGAGGGGTGAAGTAGTGTCCTCAGACTGAATCAGTTCTTTAATTTCTACCCCATAAAACTGCACTGTGCAACAGAACTTCATGTCCAAGAAAGTTCTCTGTGTTGATTTGCCCTTTGAAAAAGGTCTTAATGAGAAAACTGAGAGTCCCTTCAGTGGAATTACATTTGAAAATGGAAGCACAGCAAGGCAATTTGCCTCAGTAACTAATTTCTGATGTCTGTAACTAGAAGCATCAATACTTTAGCAGCCACTGCTTTGGATAATTGGAAATTAGGGTGATTCTTTCACAGAAACTGGTGTGAAGGCTGACTCAGCCTGGATTTCCACGCTGTGGGTTCATTTTCAGTATCAAACTGAAATGACTTCAGAAAGGATTGTCTACCCATGAATCAGAGGAAATAATTCATTATTGAGTTCAGCCCAGGAAGAAAATCTATTGCGAAAGCAAGAAGAGGTAGGGGACTGTGTTTAATTTGAGTAAAGGTTGCTCAAAGTTTGTTTAAAAAAGAAAAGCTTAAACTGTTCTAAACCTTTCAACCATTAAAAGTTCATTAGCGTTGCCAAGGTAGCCAGAAAACTTCAGGGTGCACAGTGTCTTAATTTGGTTATGTCTACACACTTTTGGCAAGCCATGTTATCTCTTAACTATTTGGTCTGTTATCATTTATTACACGGAGTGGAAAACACTGCACAAGCTGGCAGTGTGTGAAGCAGTGTGAGTCCCAGAGTGATGTTTTTTCAGAGCATATATGAACCTTTCCCTCAGATTTTAGTACATGGAAACTCAAATCCTTACAGGACTTTGATAGGGAGAGGCTGAGAAAGCTTGCAAACCATGGACTATTTGCATTAACGTTTCTTTCTTAAAGCACAGAGAATTCCCTTAACAGAATAAGCCATTATTATTAAAATGGAAGTAATCAGCAACATGACCACTAAGAAAACCACAGTCAGGCAATACATTCAAAATACTATAAAACTGACATGCATACTGCTCTTACAATCCTGCCTTTTTGAAGCAGCAGAGCAGAAGTGTACACACTAGGCCAGTAGCAGTCACTCTATTGTAGCCCCGAATGCTTCTAAGAGAAGACAGTTTTTCTTCCTTGTGGCAGCTTTGTTCCTTCAGTCTGTGATTGTGGCAATGTCAGCACATCTCCTGAGGAGGTCTGGAGAAGCTGGCTCCAGAGTGTTCCCATTCACCCAAGATCAAGGCTGTGTTCCTGGGTATTTCAGTGGGCTCTTGGAGCGGCCTCCGCAAGGAGTGATGGGAACTGTCAGTACTGTTCCCTCTGTTCTACTTTTCCACTATTTTATTATTCACCTCTACATTACACCATGATTTGCAGATTTGCAGTTTGGCCTGGGGGACTCTGTCTTACACCTTGCAAGTTAATGAAATTTTGCACATTGAGGGTTTGCATCTTTGGGCCTCTGAGGTCTGCAATATGCAAACACAGATTTACCCAGAGCCAGAGGTCAGTGTCCTCCACACTAGCTCTTCTTGCAGTACCAGGTGCTTGAAGTCACATCACAAGGAAGGGGCTGTGCTGATGAATAGTGCCTTTTATCAATAATGAAGTGACACTCACTCTATCACAGGTGCCCCCATCCATATCAGGTGCTAGAGCAAAACAAATCATCCCAACGTTAATCAGCATGGTTTGGTCTCATTTTAGGATCAGAGGTCTTTTCTTATCATCCCAATAGCTCCCTGGATTTTGTTTTGCTGACATTTCACAGAAGACACCTTGATCACCACTGACATTTCAAATGTAAAACAAATGGTGTTGCAAAAGTCTCAGAATAAATCACTCTTCACATACAGGTGACATAAAATTGAACAAGTCATGGCTGAAGAACAAGCTGTAGTAAAAAAAATTCTCTGCTCTTGTTTAATGAGCATAATCCACATGAATGTAGATATTGAAAGTAAATATTATTTAATGATTTCTTATTTATTCATACAGCATTATCTTTTCTATCTGCAGTGAAGAGATCGTGTTCTCCCTTTAACTATATATGTTCAAGAAAGATCTGAGATCATGTAAGAGAATTTGCGTAATAGTCATAGGTTTAACTCCAAAAAATTTTCAATCCATCTGCCTCCATCTTAGTATTTATAAAACTTTAGTCATGGTAGGCTGCAGATTTAGTTCACACATATTTGGACCCTACATTTTTCAAACTAAGAAATTCAGTAAACAAAATTACTATTCCTTTAACACTTTCTTGTTTCTATAATCCCTATTATTTTGCTAGCTATCACGTAAGCAGTAATTCCCCAGAAGCTGAGGTAGAAGGAACAAGACAAAATGTTTCACCAAGCATGATGCATGGGTAGTGACTCTTATCACCACCAAACAGAGCAGATACTCTTTGCAGAGAAATGTAGCATCATAGATGGCTGCAGGGCTCTCCTTTTATGATGATGAGAGCAGACCTTGCTGTAGTAATGATGATAAAATGTACTGAGAACACTAGGAAAATTTTTTCTTACTGGGTGATCTCCAGTACATTAGTGCAGTATTTTAAAGATCACTGAAAACTCTTGAAATCAACAACCACTGCACCAAACCAAAGCCTGGTCGTTCCCAGGACTACTGCAAAGAAAGTTCAGTGCAACCTGGTTGATGGTTCCCATGTGGCTATATGTAAGTTGTCTCCAGTGGGTCTTGGCTGTTTTTGCCAACCCGTCTCTCAGGGGCAGTCCTGTCTTCATTCACTGCTGTCTGCATTGCCCTTCAGAAATCCAGCTTCCCTGATCATTTTGGCTAAACGCCTTAGTTTGTTTCCCAAAACTCAGAAAGGAGATGGGTAAATCCCACAGGCTTTTCAGCCCTTGAACCCTATATTTCCTGTTCCTTCCCCATAACTCATAAAAAGTAAGAAATATTTTACGATGAGGGTTGGAAAACACTAGTACAGGTTACATAGAGATGTGGTAGATGCACCATCCCTGGAAACATCCAAGGTCGGGTTGGACAGGGCTCTGAACAACACGATCTAGCAGAAGATGTTCCTGCTTTTCACAGAGGGTTGGCCTAGATGACCTTTAAAGGTCCCTTTGAACCCAAACTATTCTATGATTCTGTGACATGCTCCGCTGGGTATCCCAAAGGCTAGATCCTCTGATCTTAATGAGCACACATTCCATGTGCATTACAGCATTACATTGACCCAACAGGGACAGAAGACCGGTCAAGCTCCATGTGGGAGTTACAAAGCTATGCTGAAGGGAAAATGGCAATATCCAGACTCACATCAATGTTCTCAGCGTTATTCAAGCTTTGCAAAAGCAGAATTCACTTTTTTAGTTTGCTAGGAGATGCCTAATAAAATTACACTTTCGGCTGAAAGTTTATATTGGAAGCATTATCATTGCATCTCTAAAGAACAGTTCTCATTAAGTGAAAGACTGAACGGACAGATATCCTAATAATAGCTTGATTTGAAGTGCAAAGTGGGTTGAAGCACTCAGCATGCCATCTTCTAATCAGGAATGAAGGTTTTAATGCAAGGCTTCCTGACAATCACAATTTTGTAATGCTTACATAAATGACTTTGTAGATGTGTGTATGGTTTTTTAATTTGGTGCATGGGTAAAGGAATGTATTTCCTGGTGATGCAAAGTAGGATCTGACTACAAATGCAGCAATGCTATCTGCACCTGTGAAAAAACATAGGTGATCACATAAGAAAGCCCCCTTTTTGCAGAAATACTTAGTAGTCTGCAGGTTATTTGTCTTAACAAAATTACAGTTAAGGATCTGTTACCTTGAATGTCATGTACAATGATCTGTATGAATATTAAGGCAGCACTCCAGGTGTTTGCACCCTAAAGTAACCTCCATGTACCTTGAACTCTTAGGGACAGCTCATCTAAAAGGTCCCAGGAGTTCAAGCTCCCTTTAAGCTTGTGTCCTCAGGAGACAGTCAGAGGCACAGAATGCCTCTGGGGAGATGTTCTTCATTTCACTCACCTTAAACACACCTTTCTCTCCCTCCCCCCTCAATATTGAAAGGTATCTAGAAAGCTGTTGCAAAGGCCATAGCCAAAACGAGAACTGATCTGTGGTTCTTCCCTCAGCCACATTTAGCTGCCGTGTCAGGTCTCTCAAACTTCTGGCAAATTAGATATGAAAAAATTCTTCTTCATTACATTGTGACAAAGGAATGACCAATAACGGTGGGGAAAATGGGACAGATGTTTCCTACCAAAGTATTTTCAAGCTCCATTTCCGCTAGGTTGATCCCTTCCAGAAGTCCCGTTCAGCTTAACTCACTAGTATTCTGGAAGTCCTCTAAGGATGAAAGGAGCAAGTTACATGTCTTATGGTCACCCTTTTAAAGTAATTCAAGAAAAATCAATGCCAGCTCCACAATGTTTTTCCTGGTTAATGATTAGTCGGGAGGAGAAGTCTGCCTGCAGGGTCTTTGACCCATGAACATATTTGTAGTAATTGGGGTCATGGCAATTCCTGTAGCTAATGCATTTTAAAAGGCCAAAGTCAGTACCCCTGAGTAATTGGGGCTGTTACTGAGCAAATGACATGCTTTGAAGCAATGACATTATATTAATTACATGGAGTGAAATCTAGAAGTGAGAGTTTGTAGGAACAAATCAGAGCTTGATTAAAACTTGAGATAAACCATTCAAGTTTAGTCCAAAATCCAAGATCTAGTTGGTGAACATCAATTTGTTGTCCACCAGTAACATGAGTTCAGGGAGGACCCCCAAAGAAGTCACTTCTGACACTCCAAGCCATGAAGTGGAGCCACGTGGCCACAACAGCACAAGATCAGCCAGCAGGAGAGGAGAAGGAGAGTGCTGCTAACCCAAACCTCTCCTCAAGGGTTGAAAGGCTGGTTTTAGTGAAGTCAGGGAGGAGGAGGGAAGGAGGAAGCACTGCTTGTGGTCCCAGCTTCACCAAGCTAATGCATCTTGCCAGTCCAGGATCTCCCACTGAGAAGTGTTGCACTTCAACCCCTTTCAGAAGAGTAATTGCAAGAGCAACCAGGACAAGGCATGTAGCACCAGTGGTGTATCTTCAGCTCACTGCCAGGGAACATGCTGCTGTAAGAGCAAGGAAATAATCCAGGCTTTAAAAAGCAACACTTCAAAAGAACAATGTTCTCGTGTCCCCAAGAACATAGTACTATAAAGAAAAAAATCATGCACTTCCATTAGGAGATTTGATCAAATGCACTATCAATGTGAAACAGCGTACATTCCCATCCCAAGACCCTGTTTCCCTAAATATTTGCAGAGAGATGCAATAGTGCCAGAGCCACTTTCATAGATGACAAAAAAAAAAATTCACCTTTTTCAAGGATTAATTATTAAGTAAGGATAAATTGCAGCAGCCAACAGTTGTCTTATTCTCCCAAGTCCTATTCATAGTAAACATGATATTATATGGAAGTTTAACTTGTATATTTATAGCCATATGATGTCTCATAGGGTCCCAATGCACTTTGGAAATAGTACAATATGGGCTCGGATATGGGCCAAACCATGCCCCTTCTGCATCTGCACAGTAATCACCATGGCTTTACATCACTGTTCAGATATAACTATGGTTGAAAATGGTCTGGAGCACTGGCAAGGAAAGATAGGGCTGTGCTTCTCGAGGGGACCATCACTCCAGGGCCCTGATGCATTTGTGCCCTACAGCACTCTCTGTTGTGCCACAGCAAGTAAGCACACACTTCAACAAGCCATTCCCATCTCTCCCCACATGACAACTAACTACTGCTCTGTGGGTAGCTACTCTACTAACTAGGATTTAAGGCATATGATTTAAGTTGCCTTTTTTTTTTCCAGGGTCTGCATTAGAGGTCTATTTCTTCATCTTACATATTTCTCACTATACTGGAAATTTTCAGGCAGAAGGCAGATGCTGGAGGAAAGACCACTGTGATATGCAGTGAAATGAAGATGGAATATTATACATAAATATTTTTATACATAAATACTTATAAACACATGATGTAGGAGATGTTTGCAGATGGATTTCTCCACACAGCATTCATTGTGTACAGCTCGTTGGCTGACAATAGATTATTGATCTATTACACTTTGAAAGCATCTTTTACTTACAAAAATTGTCCCCTTCTGATGGGGACTGAACACAATATCCATTCTCCCCACTGAATGAAGGCTATTATTTAAAGGATGGTGGATAATCCTGGATCCATCTCTGCCCTGGCCTTTCCGAGTGGTTCTGCTTTGCTGTGGTCTTTGCCTCAGCAAACACGTGCCCTAATGGGGTTGGTTCAGAGCAGCCCAGACATATTCTTCTCCTTTCCCCTCCTCTTTGCTGATGGATTAACCTGCTGACATTCACCTATGAAGGAGTCAGCTAAACATCCTTCATGTTACAAATGAGCCCCACATCTTTCCTTTCCATCTCCCTGGGTTTTGGTGTCGTAGCTGAAAGAACGATGTAGAGATCTGACTGTAGACACAGAAGGACCAGCTAGAGTGAGGTCATTGTTTCCTGACTTTTCTTTAATAGAATTAGTTTGAAGGTAGTAAAAAAACCCACATCTGAATACTTAATATTCATAAGAGGTTTATTCTCCTTTCAACAACCTTGAATAAATGATGGAGAATGTGATAACACTGTAGTCACAGCTTATTCTAATGATCAAAGCAGTTCATCATTGGGGAATAAATGTTCTACCTAAGCAAAAAAAAATGTTAATCCCTAAGCAAATTTATTACTTAGAAGGAAATTTCACTTAAAATTGTCCCATTAACTCTGCAAAAAGAAAGTAGGTGGTTTATATTGTATCATAGATTTTCTAACAGTCCTGCAGTATATTTAGCTGAAACAGCTTGAGTGAAAACTGGGAATAAACATTAGTTTCTGCAGTTTGAATATCATTGTGGCATTTTCCCATCTGTACAGTGCAGTACACAGTACATCCTGTTCACTGTACTTTGCAAGATTCTTTCCTCTGAAATGACACATAAGCTGGGAAAAGAACTGACCTTTGGTTTAATTTATATATAGGATTGATCCATCTTGTCCATGTCAAAGCCTTTAGGTTTTGACCTACCAGTCCAAACAGATCATTTTTACATAACTCAGCCCTTGGGCACTGGAACAGGCTCCCCAGGGCAGTGGTCATAGCACAAAGCCTGACAGAGTTCAAGAAGTGCTTGGACGATGCTCTCAGGCACATGGTGTGACTCTTGGGGATGGTCCTGTGCAGGGCTAAGCGTTGGACTTGATGAGCTTTGTGGGTCCCTTCCAATTCAGTATATTCTGTGATTCTGCGATCTCCAGCTCCCAAGTAAAGTCACTATTCCTCTTCCTGAAGGCAGCTTGCTTGGCAGATTTCTTTCATCCTGGAAGGTTCTTTAACCTCCATTCCCACCTTAAAAAGCATTTTAAAGCTCTTTGTTCCAAAGAACCCCCTTGCCAGAGAATCCTGAGTGATGTTCAAAAAGCATACACTGTCCTCAGCCTTCCAAGATACACCTCTGAATCTCCTCTTAGGAGCAAGTATTCCAGCTATAGAGCCTTTCTATACTTTCTCTCTCTCTCTATATATATATATATGTGTGTATATATATATATATATATACATATATGTGTGTATATATATACATACTTTCATTTCTACTTCTGTCTATACAGGGGTAGCATCTCCTTTGGAAATGTCCCATTCCTCTATTTATGAGCATGGCTGCAGTAGCTGGCATTGGAGTGATTTCTCCTTGTATCTCACCTACATTTCTATTTTCTATAATGAGGCAGTACACCAGGTTTTTTTTAAAATAGACCATATTTTGTGAAGGAGAAAGCTTTGCTACTGGAAAAGAATGTCAGGAGAATAATGTCTGGCATGACTAGAGCAGATTCCTAATCACTTGCAAAATCAAAAAGAAAAAGGTACACTTATGAATTTTAATTCCCCTTACGTATTGGGACTGAATTGAAACTGAAAAAAAAAGCTATAGATAAGAAATACTTACAACTCTATGAATATAGCTCTAGAAAGAATATTATTAATTAGCAAGCAGATGGATGGATGGATGGATGGATGGATGGATGAATAACATAATGCAAAAAGCTAATGTCTTCTGACAAACCACCTAAACAAAAAAGGTGGCTTTCTCTCTGCCCTGATAGCTTTCTAATCCATATTCATGCAGCAAAAATCTCAAGTAAAATCCTGTCAACCAGAACTTGGTCTTTCATTCTTGGTAGGTAGACCTGATATAACACAATCTCTTCCCACCCCTATCAATATAGTGTACCAGTGAAGCATAGTGGAATTAAAGACAAAAGGAAATTATTCATTGTCAAGATGTACAGCATTTCCATACTACAGAAGACATAGTGTGTGGTTCTTTACCACTTTTTTCCTAATCTAACCAAGCAGCTGTTGTGCTACTAATTTGAATTTACATCGTATTTTTCAGTTGATTTTTATTATGCCTGGTGTTACTGATGTTGATCTGGATTCCACTGTGTTTCTCTAGGATGAAAATATGGAAAGAGAGGAGTTGATACCCAGGAGAACAAAGATAAATTAGTGGAAATAAATTATCCAGTTTCATGTATCAAAGTTTATTGGAAATAAAAGGAAGAACATTTATCAAAAGGTCTGGGGAACACGTGATCATTCACTGTCAGTCTGTATTAATTTAAAGAAGATTTATCATTCTCAGGGGATTAATAAATTTTTACGGGCACTTGACTAGCTAGTCATTAATCATTGTATTTTTTCAAGATCCTAACTAAACCAGAAATTCAAAAATTAATAATTAACATCTTTTAAGTTATATCCTTATGAGTCTTTATTCAAAGGGCACTTGGGGACATGCCATAGTTGTTGATTTAACAGGTTTGCTTATCTACCTGATTGAAGTTAATCATCTTTCTGAAAGTTATCTGTACCTTTCAATTTCATTGCATAAAAGCAAGCTGGATCAAAAGACTGAGTGAATTCACTACTTCCTTTTCAGTGACTTTAATTGACTCTCTGGTGCTTTCAGTAGAGCAACTGGTGTGACCACTCATCTCACAGACTGAGCAGCAGTCCTAGAAAATCAACAGTAAAAGCTGAGAAGGATGGATGATTTCTGTACACAGAGAGGATGAATGGCCAAAATCTTTGCAGAGGGGATTTTTTTTTTCTAGGAAGAAAGAATTGGTGCATTCCTGCATTTTGTCCAGGGATGCCAGCCAAAAGCCAATCCACCTGTTCATTTTCACTCTTACTGGTACCTGGGGAGAACAGCATGAAGTTCATTAGAGCCCACCTCTGCTGGAAGATACAGCTAAGAAGTTGTGCACCCAACCAGCGCAGTTTATACAAACCTGATACAAACTTCAGGCTTTACACAAACAATTCTTTTACATCAAAGACAATTCTGGATCAATCAGCTTACAGTTCTCGAAGAATCATTGGAAATTCTGGATTTCACATGCCTGTGCTTGTCAGACCAAGGAAAATTAAAAGCCTTAGAAGACTTTATGCAATTTGTAAAAGCCACTTCCCAGAAAACTTCTGATTGCCCTATTTGCCACACCATACCTGGCAGAGATGTACTCCTGAGCCTTAAGGCAACAATATGAAAGGAATTCCTTTCCTTTTTAGAGTTTTTTTAATTATTTAATGCCCATGGACTGGATTCTCTGAACCCAAAATGTTCTGGACCCTGTAAAAAGGAACATACAGCGGAAAATCAATGGATTTCAACTTTGTCTACGTAAGCACCCTAATTATTTTCCAATTTCATTGCTCTACTTGATGGCAATTGCAACACACGCAGCACTCAGTAGCCTTACTGGCATTAGAGAGCCAACTTTTGGATTGCTTTTTTGATTAATCACATTTTTATGCTGAAGTCTAAAGCTAGTTAAAGATTTTTGAGGGAAACATATCTTTCTGTCAGAAAATGTGCCAGACCAAATTTATTTTATGGGAACACATTGTTTTCAGTAAAACTGAGCATCGAAAATGGAAACAGAGTGTGGGACATCTTGTAAAATAATAAACCAGACAATGCAAAACTAGAGTTAATATTGGAAAAGCTGAGATCCGAAGTAATAGATTTTCAAAAATGGTATTCTTGATGCTTCAAGATAAAGGATGACTTTTTTTCAGTTCTTCTCATGAAGTAAATATCTAGTCCATTTTAGCTCTCTTGAATGGAGAGTTTATCAAGACTCGATATTAAAGTTCCTACATTCACTACCACCTCACACTACTTGGGCTTGTTTGATAAGCAGAGCTACTGCAAATACACTGATACTCTTAAGTGAGGCACAAATGGACCAGACTCTTAGAAATCATTTAGCTTCAAGTCAGAAAAAAGGGGGAATAGCTTAAGTATCTCAAAAGGTCTCACCAATATCTCTTCAGCTATCCCTCCTTTAGTCCATTTTGAGATGTAGATCCGTGTTTAATAAGTATTCAAGTATGTACTTGGCTTTAAGCAAAAGTAATAGCGCGGACACCTACTCATGGGCTTGGAATGATATGTATAATTATACTTTACTAGTAGAGAAATTTGTTCTAGAAGATCTTGACAAAGACAGTGTTTACAAGCGTATTTCCAAAACTCCTGGTACATCTAGTCCCCATCTCAACGGGAGGAAGAAGGAACTACAGGTGAGAAATACAGTTTTCTTAAAAGATGTTTTTTTAAATCTGTAACTCTCCTCTGTAAAGAGGAAAATGCAGATACCATTTTTTGTGTTCTTTAGGGTTTGTACTTTTCTATTAGATTCTATATCTTTCACTAACCTTGGGTTCAACAAGGATCATTTCTGCCTATCCAAACCCCTCACTAGGACAGCTTTACTGCCTAGATTCTGTTCCTGTAGAGTGTCTCTCTATGTTAAGCTGCTGACAGATACAAGGAAGGAAAAAACACAGATTTGCAAAAGTCAATTATTTGAAATTCTTAACCTTCTCTTTTGCATGACCCTGTTACACTGCTGTCAATTTTTTACCAGTCTTTACTATTTTTATTTTCCAGGCAAATGTAATTTTCAAGGAACTTATCCAGCTGGCAAACGTGGAAAATGAAACACACTGTCCAAAGAACAAGGTTTACAATGTTATGAACTTCATCTATTTTGCATCAAATAGCAATGCCCCACCAGCCACCACCATAACTTAACCACCTCAGATCTGGGCGAGCCTTGGGAGCTTTTCCATTCCTGACTTTCCTGTGCAGACCAACAGACAACACATTTTTCACTTGTGCTGGGTCCTTCTGTCATGTCCACAGGTAACCAGTGCAAAAATGCTCACCTCCTCCCAAAACAATCATCAGATAGGCAGTGATGCCTGATGGTATAATCCTTCTAGACTCTGAGCTGAGCAGGATTTCTGCTGCTAAAGGCAGCGTCTTGAGAGACCACTCGGTATCTTTCACTATCCAATCATACCACTGCATGACTGCATTGGAACTGAATTTACATGATACAGCACAGGAACAGTTCATCACTTCTTTCTATAGTCTTGAGCCAGCCTTGTCTTATATCTTTATAACTCAAGATATTTGACAGTTCTCCCCAACAGGATGCTTAACAACAAGGCTGCAATGGTGCTTAATCACACTGCTGTGAATCTGGTTGGACCACAAAGCATTTCTGCTTCCAATTCAAGAAGGAAATTTAAAAAGTAATTAAAAACAAAAATTTGTGCTTAACAAGAATCAAAACTGTAACCACGTTGCTCTCTTTCCTGTTCATTTCATCATGAAAGGTATGGAGCTAAAACAGAAAGAAATTTGAGAACTTAAATAGTGTGCCAAGATCTCTCTGGAAGCACATTCTTCCTTACAGCAATGACATTACAGCATGAAAACACCTTGAGGAAATGCAGGTGCATCAGCTGTCACAATATATGGAATAATAGAGTTTTTAGGTTGTGAAAGACTTTTAATGTCGTTGAGTCCAATTGTTAATCCAGCATTACCAAGTGCAGCACTAGGTAGGCCATGTCCCTATGTGCCATGTCTACACATCTTTTAAATACCTCCAGGGATGGTGACTCAACCACTTCCCTGGGTAGCCTGTTCCAGGGCTTGACAACTCTTTCAGGGAAGAAATTTTTCCTAATAGCCAATCTAAACCTCCTCTGGTGCATCTTGTGCTCATTTCCTCTCATCCTACCACTTATAACTTGGGAGAAGTGACAAACCCCCACCTCACTACAACCTCCCTTCAGGTCAGTACATGGGGCACCACAACACAAAAATTATTTATCAAAAAATAATTCAGGAAAATAAAGTATTCCTGCCAACATAGCAGAGAAAGAATTCAGAAGCAGACAGGCTTTCCTTTGCAGATGGAACCCTTGTCTCTAGGACACGACTTGAGATCCACATTAAGTCCCTTGGCCTTGCCAGTATCCTTCCTGTGTTATCAGAATCTTTGCAGATCAGCCTATTCTGTGCAGCAAAATTTGAACATTACATCAAATATTCCCAGGGAAAATGTTGTTCTGTGGCCTGTCTACTGAACCTGCTCAACTATTTACACACAATAACCCCCGTTTCAAAGCAGGATCTGAGACACATCTTAGCCACCAGAGACAGGTTTTTTATTTTCAGTTTATTTTGGCCACAGTTCATGTGTGCTTTTGTGTATTGAAAGTTACAATCCTTGGCCAAGCCATTTCACCAAATATATTAAGAATCTGATCCATCCCTTGTTGAATGGTGGCAGAACTCCCACTGACACCATGAAAACAGGATTAAGCACTAATCTTTTGCGTAAAGAATGAATGTATTTTTTTCAGCTCCTAAAGTGCAAACACCACCCAGGTCACTGCATTTTTCTGCTCTACATTGTTTAATATTTGCTCAGTGTTGGGTTTGTTATAGCTTTTATTTAAATCCTCTTAAAAAAGGGGGGGGGGAAGAAGAGAGAAGATGGAAGTGTGGCATTCATGGCTTTTTAATTATGAGAGAAATCATGAGTTCTTCCTGACACTAATAACAATATGTAGAAATTATGATCAAAGAGGTTGCTGAAAAAATCCTGTGTTTTTTGCAAAGAAATTTAGAGGCCAGCATAAGAAGTGTTATGGAACATAAAGCAGGATAATAAAGCACTAAAGGGAAAAATGGGCCAGATTGTATCTAAAGCAAATTAGTCCAAGTTCATTTGACTTCAGTGAAATTATTAAAATTTACCTCAGTTTTGGCCCATGTACTAATTGCTCAACTTATGAATAGCAATGAAATTTGAACATTTTATGTTTAAATTATATTGTGTACAAAAATACTGGCTGGATTTTGAAAGACTATAACAATTTGAATTCATACCTACCTTATCCAAACTGCTGGTAGTTTAGCATAAATACTAAATTTGCCTGGAAAAGGGAAAAAAGAGATTAAAATATTTAAATCTTTTTTTAAAGTTTCTTGAAATGACAGATAGCAAATACACCGTAAAAGGAAACAGGACTTGAGGTAAGACTGTGAACTCAGCTATAAATCTGGAGTGATTTCAGTAAAATTATTATAGATTTTCAGCTTAAAATCTTTCTCTGGACTTTTCAATGTATTAAAAGATGAGTGGACTTGGGGTTTTTTTAGATCTACAGTTGTGAAAACTCGGGAAAAAGACACTGATAGCAAAAAACACTACATTTTATTACTGTTGATGTTCAAATTACTCATCAAATAGTGTTTTATTCCATTTGCTGAATTTTACTGTGAATCTTTACTTTAATAATAAAGCACCAATCAAATTTTTCTGGCAAAAGATAGGAACCTTCACAGTATACAAGCAACCCATCCCAGCTGCCTGGGAGCAATATCTGCTCTACAGCATATGGGCCCATCCTGCAGCAGTCACAGTGTTCTCACATCTCTCAGCGTGGGGACAGTGGGAAACACCCAAGGAAGCAGAATTTGCCAATTCGGTAACTAAAAAAAGTTGTGTGAGAGCACTTGGAACAACAGAACAGTCAGAGACACAAAAATACCTGCCAGGTAGCTGTGGCAGACAGCACACTGAGATTGCCCTGTTCTGTCATATACCACATCTTCATGTCATACTGCACTGGAGCAGGAGCTTGATTCCCTTTGACAGTCAAGTTACAGAGTTTTATTCCTGACCTCTGACAGATTTTTTCTATCTTCATCCCACTTTGCAGTATGGCTCTGATTTTCAGCTGAGATAACTTCTTATAGTTCTTGCCCACAGCCCTGGCATCACTGCACAGGGGGTGATACAAGACTTATGTGTTGCTATCATGCATGAAACATTTCATGAGGTCTCAGTACTATGAGTGTTGCCACCTGGAAAATGGAATTTTTGCAATTCCTACCTGTCTGTTTTAGGTATATTTCATCCAGCAGAGAGAAAAATGACCTCAGGTACAGGTACATCTATGACTCTACAAGGAGGGATGAAAACTCATGTCAAAAGGCACTGAGTATCTCTGTGCAATTGTTCCTTGGTTCTGTAAAGTCCCAGGAATGGGCCACAGGGTCAGTGTCTCCTGCCAGGGTACTGCCACACACCTCATCTTTTCCAACAGAAGAAGGAATAACAACTGTCTTCTATAACCTTGTAGAAGTCATCACACCAGAATGTTTCCTTGGCATAAAGGAAAAAGTAAGTCACTCCCTGGTGTCCTTTCTTCTTCTCTTTCATTGTGCTTTGTGGATAGGTCAGGACTCTCCCTGGCTTTTGAAATGCCAGCTTCTGGTCCTTTAATCAAGCACCTGGTTCTTTTCAAAAAGAAAATCATAAAAACAGTTCTTGAACATTCCTAATGCTTCTTCTAATACATCTTAATGTCTATGAATGCTCTTTCATGGCTTTTTGCATCCAAACAGAAGGACAGCCTGGACATGCTATGAATGCACAGTGAAACTCAGAGCATGTTTGTGTAATGTCTGGTCATCAACATTAGCACTGCACCAAGTCATTTCTGAAAAGAAAGTAAGAGAAAATATCGACCCAGTCCTAAAACCAGCAATATCAATGTCTGATTCTGAGATGATACCAGGAAATTCCCTAAAGTCACTGGTATTCCCTTAGAACAAAATTAGCACAGAAAGTGAAGAAGGCCTGCGGTGTGCTTTGAAAAAGGAAAGCACAGCTTTGTTTTTATTTTAGCCAGTACAGTAATGAACCCCAGCTCAAAAACACTCCCCACCCTTATTTAGACAAAAACAGAGCAGGCCCCAGTTGTGTAGGAACTGCACCTGTTCAGCTCCGGAGACAGCAGACTGGTGGCACTCGTCCATCCAAGCAAGACCAAGGGCAAAGGTCCTTGCTCCCCTCCTTCTGATATGTTTCTGAAATGTCACGGGAACATGGAATTTCCTGGTGGCCCCAGAATTTCCTCCAAGGATGAAGGCACCAGAAGCATGTGGCTGACCTTGGCAGCCTTGTTTGTTTTATGCATCCTGCTTCTTAAGACTTGGATTCATTGCTGAGATCCAACGTCCTTTGGGTATTTTCTTACTGGAAGAGAAAATTTATGCGTATTTTGGGAAAGTATGTTTTGATTCAGTTTGCTTGTTGTCCCTCCTTCAGGATCTATTTTTTCCAAGTGTCAGAAAAATAAGATGCTGGGTTTCAAAGGGTCCTACAACTGCACCAAACATGATGCAGATGCCAGACAGAACACACTCACTGTATGAAGCTCTCAGCTTTGGTTCACCACCACCTCAGCAGCTTTCCCCATAGCTCACTTTGTCTTCTGCAGCAGGTGAATAAAATGCCTGTGGGAATGATTTGCTGATAAGGTAATAGCACTTCTCTTCCTTCCAAAATATGCTTGCCAACACAGAAATCCATTCTGACCACTGTACTCAGGTTGTTCCTGGCAAAAAAAAAACAGGAGGGAGGGGGAATCTTTAAGGAGAAAGTGGCCCAGCAGAGCAGGGCTCAGCCCAAGCAGAAAGCAGTCATAACAGTGAAGTGAATGCTATGGACCATTACCCTGGGAGTTGCCTGGCACACTTCTAAGGGTCCTGCCCCAATGTTCCTCTGCCCAGTCATTAAAGAGAGAGGCAAGTGGGAATTAATAGCTTTGACCGCCCTTAGACACAACCACATGCAGCACATGACAGGCAGAATGCCTGGGAAAGAGGGAGACCGAGCCACATCCATATGCCGAGCTTCTCGGCAGCTACTTCTGCATTCTCCATTTAAAAAACTCCCAAAGTTGTTTGATTTCATCCCATGCTCCTGAAAGCCTGGAGTCCTGATACGATGTACCCCAATCATTCTACAGAGTTGGACGAAAAGCAAAGTTCACTGTGTACCACTTTCCCTGCCTGGCTCTGGAGCTCTCCACCTCCAGCTGCAAGCTCAGCAACACTAAGTATTCAAGCACAGCAAAGCACTTTGCTGCAGCTGTGCCCAGCAACAGGAAAGCACTTCCACTAACTTTTCCTGTCAGTCTCAGCACTTGCCTGCTGTTGCTCACCTCCCCAGGAGAGCAAAGCTCCCACTCAACTACAAGAGCCACCTGCTTTCCCCTCAGCAAGCCGCCCATCTTCTGTCATGCATCTTCCTTATGGACAAGGTTTGGTCCCCCAGCCCTTGTTCACCCAGGTCGGTTTGCATTGTTTGAATAACGAGCTCCATTTCAGGAGGATCTTTCCTCCAGATGGATCCAAAGCATTTCACAAACTGTTAATTAAGCAAGCCAAACTCAGCAGAGAAAGCCCTCCTTAACACTGCACAACCAATCCCTTTTGGATGTTAGGAAGCAGATGTTTTACCACCAGCCCAGCACAAGTAATGAGGGCTATGGGTAAGGAAACTCAGTCTGGAGAGGAAATATCTGAGTGTATCACAGGTACCAAGTCAGATTATTTATGATTTCTTCTAAACAAGAGGCAGCATAAAAGAGAGGCTGGTTCTTTTCCTCCACTGCTGCTGGGGAGGGGCTGCTCCAGACCCTCACTGAGCTCCTGGAGATGCATGTCCAAGTTCCTGCCTCCATGTTCTGAGACAGTGTAGTCTATGGGGAATAAAAGTTACTAAAGGGTTTTTCTTGCTTTTCAGTTTTTCATTTTCCTTATGGTCTGTTTTTTCCTCAGAGGTTAAAGCCTGGTTCCTAAAGGCTCCTAGACTCCGTGGTAGTGATGGGGGTCAAACCCCCTGAATTCCCAATAAGATTTTTAGGCTGCAGTGCTGGAAGAAGAAAAGTGTCAGCAGAAAAAATAAACATCTGCAGATCTAAAATCCTCTCACTCCACTGGCTTTGGTCATGGCACGTGAGCCCTACAAGCGTAGGATGTGTCGTCAAATTATCTTCTGCCTAGTTCTTTGATTTTGCTGGTGATGGATAAGGCCCTTGCTTACCTAATGTAACCAAAGAGACAAAGCATGCCTGCACGCATGTCCACATTCAGGAAAGCTATGGAATCCACCAGATGGGAAAAATGGAGGACAGCATAGGCCAAAATGTCCACCTACCTCTCACATGGCCATGTCTCCCACCACTCCCCATGGGTCGGTCACACAGGAAATGCCAGCCAGGAAGTCCCTCTTACCACATCAAATGCCAGGAGGACAGCCAGAGTACTGTAAGGCAGAGTACAGGGATTAGCTACTGCTATAACATTGAGGAAACCCTGGCCCAAACAGTCCTTGTCCCAGAAACCTAGATTGAAGGTACCTCAGGAAGTATGGGATTTAGCTGGACACCAGAGGCCAGCTATGGAGATAACCAAGGATGTTTTACCTGTGTCAGGAGGTCAAGGACAAGTGGAGATTGCTGCAATTTCCCTGTCAGGGAGGAGTTATGACACTGACAGTGCCAAACTGAGACAAGGCTCATTTTATGCCAGGATGGGGCTTTACTAATCATGCTTGTATCTGATTGTGTCCCACTTCACGTTTTTGAGGCACACTAAAAAGCTGTGACTAAAGAAGTAACTTCAAGGGGGAAATTTCCATTTTAAACTAGCATCCTGCAAAAATAGAAAAAAAAAATTGTGATATAGACAGCTGACCAAAGGGTATCTTATTTGCATAATGAATGCTCCCCATCAAACAGAAAAATTAAAGCCCTTTGAGTTCAGATTTAACATTAGCTACATCCTTGAAAACTGCCCCAGGGTGCAGAAATATACATAAGTGTTTCCACTCTGGTACCAGAAGTGATTGTACCTTCAGGAAATGCTTTTTAAACCAGTTTCTGACTCTCACTTAAACTACTTAAACACCTTCTTGCAGTTCCCATGCTGAGTTTTGTTACAGATTCCATCACAAATGCTGAATCCCAAACACCTCTCAAAGTACTCCCTTTTGAAAAGCATAGGAAGTCACACAGGGATAAGGGATGCTCATTTCCAATAGGATTTGCTACAAACCATAGACCCCCGTCTATGTTGGATAGCTTTCCAAAGTCCTCTCATTCATGTAATAATGGCATTGATCTGCAAAGCTCCTTGATGCCTGGGAGGCTTGAAGAATGGTTAGAAGTCTTGTTTGGGAAGTTTTCTGAAGTTTCTCATTTTTCTACTGTTTGCAGAAAAGGTTTGTATAACTGCAAGGTAAGAAAATTGTTCTTCATGTTTCATTATTGAGAAAGCAGCCACCACTGAGAAGCCACAATAAGACTTTCTCTCTTTTCAGGCAACAGCCCACTAGACAAATTGAAGTCTGTTATTTCTGCAGAGTTCCTATTCATATGGAATATTTTCAAATGGTCTCATGAGCAGCACATTTTAGAACAAGACAATACAAAACATGAGAAAAAAAATGTGTCTCCTGTTTAATTTCCCTGCAGTATGTAATTTGGTTTTAAAGAAGAAGAAACTTGTGAACACAGAAAAAGACATAACTCCGTTTTTACAAAGATGAAAAAACAAACAGATAAAAACATGTCACTTGACTTGCTATTTACCCAGAATTTTCTAAATTCTGTGAGTGAATTTCTAAATTCAAAGTACACCTAACATGAAGAAAAATAAACAAAGTGTTCCTATTAAAATTTTTTATGAAAAGCACATAGTACTCTACTTCTTACATGGCACCTCTTTCTGAAATGGCACAGAGGAATCTTGACACACAGTGACCATTTCCACCTTTTGCATTGTCAGCTACAAGAAAATCTAATTTGAAAGAGGACTTTGGTTAGGAATAGGGGCATACTCCTCAACTTCCTGCAAAAACATCTACTGAAGTAACAATCAGCATCTTTTCCTTGGTAAAAAAGGAAGGGTTTGCTTTTTACAGGCTACAAATACTGATCAAATATTGTTCTGTTTTCTTGTGATTCTCCATTGTCTCATCAGTAAAATGTACACAACTATTTAACCATAAGCATTACCTGGGATAAGGAAAATCAGCAAAGGGATTGGCAGGCCCTCTGTTTCTTGGTGTCTTCTGGTTAAGACAGGAGTCGGAGCAGGACTAGAAGCTCTGCTTTGATTACCTGCTGGACTGCAAACAGCTTTAATTAGAACAAATTATGTGTTTAATATTATAAATACCTCAAAGGTCCATTATGATCTTAAAGTCTCACTTGACAGCCTATATGTTAGCTTGCAGCTTGAACTCATGCTCGAGCTCAAGCCCTAGACCTTCAATTCACACGATGGCTGCAATCTAAGACAGACCGAGTATCTCAGCTGAAGTTCACACAATCAGATGAAAGGAATTGGCTTGAACTGATTTTGACTCATAATTGGGGCACATGGACAGTATAGTGGATTTGGGTATCATTTTGAAAATCATAGCTTAAGAAACATAGCAGACAGGAAAACATTTGCAAAAAATCTCAGTGCCTGCACTTCATGATCAGCTCCACGAAATAAACAGATCAGCTCTAAGTAGTCTTTGGTTCTAATTGCTATATTTTATCCCCCATATTAAACATTTCTATCACTTGGCTGAGGAGCAGACACTGTCCTGTGGATTAGCCATCAGTAACAGCCCAGGAGTAACAACTGAGAAATGGCACAGTTTAAGATCTAGCCAGTGTTTTGCATTTATTTCTAGAATATTATTATATAATGATGTGCAGTGAATAGAGATGGAAAACAATCACAGCTTTGGCATGGAATTTCTGTATATACAGAATGATTGCATTTGCAAAGTATATTATTACTGACACCTAATTCAGTCTGTCAGAGTGGCACTATGAGGGACTAATTAAAGTCAAAGCAAAACAAATGCTTGTACTTGAGAAAAACACCAGGGAAAACATGGACAGATTTTACCAATCTGCATGTCTCATTCCTGTCAGTGTGAAGTGTTTCTGAGGTGGTACATTTTATATGCTTTAAAGTAGAGTCTATTCCATTACGATAGTTATAAGCTTCAAAAGAGCAGATCACTGGCACTCACTATTTGACCAGTCTTGCTCACTTGAACAAGCTTAGGATTCTGAATTTTGAGCCTCCAATCACATTTTTAAAGTTTTCTCTTGCTTTTCATGATCAGAAAATAGAAATCTATATCCCAAATATGATAACTCTGCCATGTCAAGAAGGAGAAACAAAAGCAAGCAAAAAACAAAAATGACAGGCAGGACGAAGAGGAGGAGGGGAGAAAAGAGAGAGTGTGGTATTCCCAGCACAACTGTTGGACCAACTGTCAGTTGCTTGTATGAAGCAAAGCCCCACAGCTACCAGGGTATTTGCAGGGTATTAAATTCATTCAGTCTAGGGCTGTGGAAAAGGGAGAAAGGATGCTCTCTGTATTTGTCAGTATGAATGTTCTTGTGTAGACATTCTTCATGTTTCTTGTCCTTACTGACACAACCCTGGACCATGCAGCCTCCATCTTTCAGTGACAGAGGGACAGCAGCCAGCACACAGCAAATCTGCCAGACTTTACCTTGCTGAGCACTGGGCAAAAGCCCAGTAGCCCCTTCACGGGAGTAGTCTTGTATGCAAGGAAGTGGGTGCAAGAATTCAAGTACAAAACTAATTGAAAGAAAAAATTGGTATTTTTCATGCAGTTTTGATCCCTGCCCAAATGTTAATTTTTATCACATATATTCACATGTTCTGGCAGGACAAACATGTGTGTCTTAACTGCATCAGTCAGGTCATGTTAATGGGCACATAATCCAGAAAGGTATTTCTGCTGCACATCAAGCAGGGAAGCCTCTAGGCTTCTGAGGCTGTTTTATGCCAAGCACTGATTATTTCAGCAAATGAGGATCTTTCTCACCAGAGGCCAATATTTTGAGGACACCCTGAAAAGATATGTTTTAAAATTCACTGAAGCTACAGAACTTCAAGACAATTAGTTACAGAGGGATTTCGTCTAGTGACTGGGCTTCTGCTCTCAAATGCTTTTGTGATCATTGTCGTGCTTGTTTTCACCATCTCTGGCTGGAAACAGCGCTATACTCGTACTCAAATTCAACTGCTTCTCCACCCTTGTGGCTCAAATTCCTTTCCAAAGGTAAGAAGAAACTTTGTTTTAAAGTTGGAGAAAACAGAACAGGCTGAGGTGAACATGCAACTTCGTGACTGCTCGTGGTCTCTTGGACACTTTTAATCCACTGGGCCTTTCATTTTTGACAGGACATGCTGTCAAAGTCTGAAAATGTGGCAAATGACCTGAGCAGCTGGGCAGGTCCCAGGAGAATGGTACTAGAGGTGGGTGTACAACATATGCATCCAGGCAGCATGCCTTTTCTTTCCACAATGCCAGCCCAGCCTGAAGGGACAGTGTCTGGTTTTAGAGCAGTCCTGTCTTTATTTATCCTGAGATGGCTTTCAGAAGGGCAGGAGCTGAGCTTTCCTAGAAGAATAGTCAGAGGCTGGCGTACAATTACACTGTATTACACTCAGTCAGATAAATCACTTTTGGGAGAAGAGGTTCATAACAACTCCAGACATGCCTAATAGTTCCACTGTGAGTCTCTGGACAAAGCCCGGGACTGGAAACAAAATGAAATCATTACATAAAATTATTTGTACTCCTGTAATGCTTGAGAGCCACAGCTAAAATGAGACCTTACTTCAGTGAGTGCTGTGCAGAGCCAGCCAGAGGCAGTTCCTGCCTGAAGTATCTGCTATCTCAATAGAAAGGAGAAGGGCAGGGATGCACTTTTTCCCACTCTTCCCACAGGCATGGGAGAGGAGGCCCCCAGAGGAGGTCTGGGGCCAGCCAAGGTCAGTGTGCATGACTGCAGAGAGCAGGGGTTTTGTACCACCACATAAACCAGGTAGTTTGCTAAGCCTTATTTTTATTGCTGTTATTATTAAATACATTATCAGAGCCTCCTCAAGCAGTGTTAATCAAGATGATTTCCTCAAGCTACGCTCCAAGAGGCATATTACACCCCCTACCAAACTTATTGAATTAAGTGAAGTATGTGCATTATCTTTGCTTATGGCTTTCAAAGCTTATGAATGCTACTGTAATTGTTTTCATAAAACAGATCAATAAGTAGAGTCAAAATAGGCTCTGCCTGCCTCAGGGGGAAGGCATTTAAAGTATGTGGATAACAGCTTTTTCAAGAGACCTTTCTGCCTGCCAAACAAAGGGAACTTATTGCAAACTCTCACCTTCTCGGGAAAAGATCTTATTTGCAAGTCAGTCTGTGAACTGGTTTTGAAACAGAAGATGACAAGACCTTTCATTTGGAATTAGGGAATCAAGTTAACTGGCTGAGGTTTTTTAAAAAATTCTTAAATCCTAAAGCATTTTAAATTAATTCACATTTTAAAATACCTCCCTACTCCTACATGAGTGTTGGCAGATTTCATGTGTCGCTTGGATGCAAATAGGGATCTGCTACATACTCCACAAAAATCATGCTGGTAAAGTTTGTGTTCCCTTGTGGACAATGGGAAACATAAAAGATACCAAAGGCCAATAAAATAAATGAAATAAATCTTCACTTCTTGCTATGTTAAAGAAACTTTTTTGTGTGTTTATCATTTGCTCCAAGACAAAATATGCCTTGCTATTTATGCAGCAAGTTAGCACATTTCTAAAGACATAAATAAAAATATCAAGGTGAAACAGTGAGGAGTTTATTAGCTTAGTTATTAAGAGCTCTTTACACTTAACAACCTAAAGCACACACAGAGCAATTTGTAATCAGCACTTTTTAAGCTCTGAATAATCCATTCCTTAAGCAAGCTTTCCTGCTTCCTTTAAAACACCTTTCATGTCTTCAAACTTTCAATGAGGAAAGCCAAATTCATTAAAGCAACCTCTTCACTATGCTTTTCTCTCTCCCCCTTGTTCCATCATATCTCCTGTTCTCAAGTGAGCTAATTACTTGATAGTTGGAGCTACAAAGCCTCCTGCCAGGGCAGGGCCCAACATCTCTCAAGGATGGGATTCAGCTGGGTAGGGGACCAGTGCAACCCAGGGATGTGACAACTGGCAGAGCTGTTAGCACGAGCCTGAGACACTTGGTCCCCCTTTCTAGTTACACCCTTTCCTCTAACCAGAGATCTTCTCCTTCAGATCTCCTCCTTCTACTACCATCTCCTCTTCCATCAAGAGTGTGTTCCCCCACTGCTCTATTTCTCCCTTATACACAAACTCCCATCCTCTCCCATCTCCTTCACCTCCTCCAATCACTGCAGTACTTGAATAACTTCTCTCCCTTTACTAGTCAGTTTTTTATTTCATCCTCCTACTTTATTTTCCCCTTTTCCTTATTTGTTTTCTCTCTTTTCAATACAATCTACCCTGGAAAAAATATTTCTGCTGCTAACTAGAATTTGTGAGATGTACTGTGCTTATTCAAGCCTTGTACTCACAATACCCCGGTTAGGTTAATATATTCTCTTAATTATCTTACTGACTGGCTGCAATACATCATCTTAAACCAAACTAGTAATATGTAGTGCACCTAAAGATACCTCCTAGAGTGTAAATGAACCTAGTTTCTTGCAATGATCATGCAAGTGAGACACCTTCTGGCAAGGGTAACATGAAACACACACAGACAGTTTCCAAATAATAGCTTTTTTAAGTAATCCATGAACACATACCCAATGCCAAGAGTTAAGTAGGATTAGAGAAGCAAAATTCATGTTTCAGATGCAAATCCTGAAAATCTGTGCCAATTTTACAGACTTCCCTAGAGGTGAGAATCAACATAGGCACTTCAGCTCCTTTCCCTGACTATCCGTTTAAATGAGACTTCTCTTGTCCTCTGGTCTGGAAGGTTTTAGGGATCACCTTGTAGCAGTTCCTTAAATTTTCCTCAAATTCAAAAGATGAAGAATATGTGTGTCTGCAACACCCACCTGGTAGCTTTCAGGATAGCTATAACACAATCTGGCACGAGAAGATATTCTGTGACCTCTCCTATACAGGCTTTGCTTTTGCTTGCTCTTGGTGTTTTGAAATAACATTAGACAGAGAACATTTGGTGGGAGAATCTAAGAACCTAATACAGAGAGCCAATTCAATTACAGTTGGTGGGAGAAGGTGTGGATTTGCAAGAAGACAATGAG